TTTCTTAATTATATATATATATATATATATATATAAATAACATATATATATATATATAAAACATATATACATTTATATATATATATGTATTCATATATACACACACACACATATATATATATATATATATATATATATTATATGTATGTATATCTATATATGTGGATATGGTTTGGTGCATGGCTGAGAAGCTATAGATTTGACGTCATGTGGTATCGTTTCGACGAAGGACGATGCGAGTCGCGGTGCACTGTGTATAACACACAGTACGCCAAAAACATGTGATATATAACCATACCCTTGATTGCTAATTGAGTGTTGGTTCACTTGTATATTCCACGCCTCTATTCAGAGCAACTAGTTGCCGAAGCAAAAAGAACACTAGCATGTATCTTTGTTTTGTAAAGAGTGGCATATGTATACCTTTCAATACTGCCTGTCTGATTTGAAGGGGGGGGGGGGGATAAATTAGTAATCGACCTACCGGTCGATACTGTCTCACCCCGTTACATGCAACTTAAATAGGAAATATTAGAGTTTATGAATCCGACTGACTCATATATGTGCATCATTCCGATTGGAAATATAAAGCCGTTCATATCTGAACGATCGGGTTTTATACTATTTAGAATAGAAAATAATTGACCATTATATCAAGCCAAGCCAAAGAACAATACACCATCTGTATTTAGTAGTTCCGTATCGTTTAACACTGACTCGCCCGTTCATACTATTCAAAGTAGAAAGTAGTGTATCTTTATTATCGGTTAATCGTAGCCGTACGCACTTGCATTTGGAGCAGGAAATATACCAACTCCCGACAGAATATTCACAGCTGAGGAGTTACTCAAATACGACGGACGCGATCCAGACACCCCAGTCTACATCGGCTTCAATGGTTTTGTATACGATGTGGTAAGTTAGTATATGCGTGTATAGGTGTGTCTTGACATCATTTATGAAACGATTGTAGATATATATTGTTGGTATGTAGTATATATATACCTATGTTTGCGCGTTTTTCTGTGTGTGTGTGTACAATATTTATATATATTGTACGCATAGTATATAAGATATACCCACATATATACACATTGTCTATGTATGCTTTCGATGGTACTTTCTTCTATGTTTGTGAATGACGGAACAAAAGCTATTAGTTCGACCCTCGTACATGTTACACTCTACCGAAGTGACATCAGTAGGCATAAATTACCCTGGCGTTCGAAGTGACTTCAGTACGCATAAATTGCCCTGGCTTTCTATGTCTCTGATATATCTCCGGCAGTGAGTTTGAGGTGCTGACGGGTGCTGTGCCACAACCAACTGCTGCCGTACTCATCTCAATCGAGTGTCAGTGTCATCTGTAAATTGATATCTACTTCTGGATGCATACTAGTATGCAACTGACTGCGTGACGGCTCCTAAAGACCAGTGCGATTGAAGAAGTACACCCCACTAAGCATTGCATAGTGTTTAGTAGTGCTGCTTATGAAGTCAAGCCATGCGTATTCCATTCCACAAAGCATTGCATAGCGTTTAGTAGGGCTGCTTGTGAAGTCAAGACGTGCGTATTCTAATCTCGCTCGTTGTGCATTGTGTACGATGGTGACTATAAATGCACGAGAAGGTACGGGTGTGGTTGTCGTATAAGTGTGTATATATTTAGTAGATCTTTGCCTGAACCATTGCTCGTACAGGTTTACTTGGTAGTACTGTGCCTTAAATTAAAGGGTTTGGTTCAGGGCTGTATCATCACACACAAACGTATTTGCTATGCGCGGTCAGTGGCACACTTCGTCACACCCTTTGGTCTGTTTATATTTTCTTTTATGTCTTCCGAGCTATCACGTCCTGTGTTTGTTGGTCACAGTACGGCCATAACCTATTTATGTGTGTCCACTACGCTCGACCGCATATCACGGCATTCAGAAGTATTTTTCGAATATAGTTCTGATCTTGATACTCTTCTTCCCGATTTGGCTATTGTATACAGAGTGCGGGTAGGCAGTTTTATGGCCCCGGTGGCGGCTACGCATTCTTTGCTGGCAAGGTACAACTCTTTATGTTTGAGTTAATGCCTGTTCATAACAGTATGTGTATTCGCAATTGGCTGTTTTTGGTTGTTCATGAGATGTTTGTTGACCCCTGGGACTTGAATCCATAGCCTATTTCCGTAGTCTGTCCTCTGTCATCCACATTACTATAATGCAATTGGTGTCCGGCTGTGTGTTTGCAATCTAAATTGGTCCGTGTGCATGTATGTGGATTTCATTCACAAGTTAAATGTATGCGTACTAGTGTGTTTGTTTGGTGTCTGTGTGTGTATACTATTGGGGTTCCACACCGTGTAAATGCAAACAAAGTATACCGTACACACAGCTAGTATAGAGATGTGCATTGTTATTCGCTAACAATTATGTGTTCGTTCATCCCGAGCATATGCGCACTGCACGCGACATAATATGTACAGCTGGAAGTACCGGTGTGTGTAGCACTGTACCCATAAAACGCTAATTAGTTGAGTAACAAATTGGTATGATTTGGACGGATGGTTCATAAGTCCTCAACATATATGCACTCGACATAATGAGACTCGTGTACACCCCGAGAGGGAGAAGTTAGGGAGCATTCACTACAACACACTTGACCATAAGCTTATGCATATCTTCTAATTCCTTCTAATTGGGAATGACTGGCGACATGCCGAATTCCGACACTTGTAACGTACCTTAGCATTGCTGGATCTTTGCTAACCAATTCCAATTCCCAGTCTCCATGTTATACTTGAGTCAGCACTAAGTCCACATTTTCTTTCAAAATACTTCAAATGTAGGATGCTACACGGGCGTATATCACCGGCAACTTCGCAGAAGATCTTGTTCCGAATGTCGACGGTCTAAGAGAAAATCAACTCAAAGAACTTAAAACGTGGCAAGACTTCTACGATTCACATGCCGATTATTTCCGAGTGGGAAATATGGATTATAAAATATTGGAGAGCGATACAAAACCCGAATCGGAAGAAGCGGCGGCCGACAATGCGGAAGGTGAACCAGAGATGAGTACGAAGGAAACGAAGCCGAAAAGCGAGTTATGAATAAATTAATACCAAATTAGCCTGTTTTGAACCACATTATGAACACAGGCATCTTTTAACAATTTTACTTATAAAATCATCACCGGTGTACGCGCAATTTGTAGTTTCTCACATATGATGCAAGCCTTTTGTGCTTTAAAAGTATAGCTGTCACTGACATAAACTTGACACCTTGTGGAATCTCTAACATAGCCCACCGGAAGAAAAAGATTCACACACATGTATAGGTACATGTAGTCATACATATTCGTATACACTGAATATCTCTAGACATGGAGAGTAAAGTCGAAACCTTCAATGTGCTGACAACTTCGATAGTTACCTTGTCTTTTACTATCAAGTGATCAAACAATTCACTGTCGAAATCTGTGGTGGTGTTTAATTCTTGTTGGCAGCCCTATTTGTCTACGTTTTGCGTGTTTTCAGATTTTGGCCTGTTAAAAACGCCGTGTGTAACATCAAACACTTGGCTGTGTATAACATCAAACACTTGGCTGTGTATAACATCAAACACTTGGCTGTGTATAACATCAAACACTTGGCTGTGTATAACATCAAACACCTGGCTGTGTAAAACATCAAACACTTGGCTGTGTATAACATCATACACTTGGCTGTGTATAACATCAAACACTTGGCTGTGATAACATCATACACTTGGCTGTGTGTAACAGCATACACTTCATACTAATTATTTATTTTGTACATCTTGGTACTTTCGGATTCTGTTTGATACGCCCTATCCATGCCATACCCATTGGCTAGACACTGCAACCAGCAATCAGAAGTAAACTGCTGAATCATCTCCTATTGGTCTTCGTTTGCCTTACGTTTCTTCTGCAGTAAGAAGACTCTGCCACCCTTTCTCTTTCTCGAACCATCCCCCGCATCCCCGCCTTCCATATTTGGGTCGTCACCTTCCTTATTAGGCCGATACCTACCCTCTAACTCCTGTACAGTCTTCGCCGAACCCACAGCCTTGTGCATACTCTCGACCAACTCATTCCTGATAGCCTCAGAGACAGGCCATTTCTTGGCTCCTGCATCGTTCTGCAGAAAAAACACGGCCGTGTCATACGAACTCACCCGATACCTCTCCGACGGTCGCCGTTGGTGCTGCTGTCCATCGCAGTAACCATGGTTACTGGCCGTCAGAATAAGGGGCTCGTGCTTGTTGTACGCACTGTTGGAAAGCACTTGCCACATACGCACCTCCTTCCACGCCGGCACAACCACGACAAAGGAGAGGGGCTCCTTGGTCAACGATAGGAGTGCGTTAGCGTGCTCTGCCGCTGCGCACAAAACCTCGGGGACGAAAGGTGGATTCATCTCGAAACTACCTTTGCTCGGATAAAAGTCAAAGAAACTGCCCAGACTACCAAACGGCGAATCGGTATCTGGGAAAGCCGAACAAAACTGTCCATAGCGACAGTTCAATGGTGAGGCGAAACACTCACAATCCACCCTCATCTTATCCTTGAGCACGTCAAAAGAGGCTTCGTTCAACGCTGCCTGATAACCAGCGCCGCCCAGGGCATCGTATCGAGCGAGTACACAGAACACCGCGTCTACAAACCTATCGTTATCGCTACCTTCTTTGTCTACCCACTTGCCCCCGCGTGTGCGTGCGTACAGCGACCGTAGCTTGGCTGCATGCGGTCGCGATAAGCTGAAGAACGGCTTCTTCTTCGTTCGCAGAGAATACGCCAGCAGTGCCCCTCTCTCCTCTACTTGTGCTTGGTGTGTGCTATGAGTATCATCATCATCTCCTTCGACACGCACACCTATACTTCGTAGCTTGTTCTTTACGTCAGCTTTCTTCTTCTTGGCCGGAGTGTTATTCGGCTCAGTATCCTTGTTCGCAACCACATCGCTGCCATTCGTATCCGTACTCGTCGCCGCATCCGTAATCACACCCTCATTCTCCATATCATCATCTCCTTGTACCGCAGTCTCGCTACCCTTTCCACTACCCTCTACAGTAGTATCGTTTAACTTTGCATTCAATCGCACACCCAACGCAACACACTTCGCAGCCGCCTCCTGTGCATCCTCTTCCGACAGACCCCCTAAACGCATCAAGTCCTTCTGTAACCCCTTTTCTGGGTCACTATTGGGAACTAGATACGAAACAACCGTCGCCATAGCACCGCTTCCAACATCTTCCTTTGCCCCTGATTCGCCATCGTCGTCATCATCATCTTTAATGAAGGCAGCAGGTAAGCTCGACCGTGCACACCATCGCTCGTAAGCTAAGAGTGCGGGTACACCACATGCCTGTCGCACAGACTGTCTGAGTTTCTTGACTGCTAGCCATCGCTCCATTTCATTCAATGGCATGACAGCTAGCTTATCAGAGGAGCTTTTAACTCGGGATAAGCCTAATGCGTTCTTATACGAGGTCTTTACCGTGCTGTCCCATAGTGGGGTGTTTTGCGGCCGCTTGTTCCCGTGGAACTGCTTCTTTCCCTCCATTCTGTGTCTGTAGCGTAAGATACGTGTGTATATCCTTTGTGTATATGAGGAACTACATAATACAAATATCCCGTGAGCACATATAAATCAATACCTTTCTGGAAACAAATGTATTCAAAACAAAAAAAGTGCACGTGTTTTCGTAATATTTTATCATGTACGAAGTCAAAATGTAAACACGTTGATATTTCAATATATGTTCCCTAGTATTCTCCATACCTTTACGTATGCATATCTAGTATTGATGTATTTAAGATACATGTAGTCGCTCTCACAGGAAGTTATTCACACAGAACGTCAACTACTTTATATATTTATGATTTTTCGAATACGTCTCGGAGACGATACAAGCACATCACTTGCTATCAGCGACCTATAAAGATATAGCTCATACATTCTACATAGACGTACGGATTCATCGCAAGCTTGTCTGTACATAACCACCCACCATGAGTGTTGCGGGCAACATAGACCTGGATTACTGGGAGGACTTCTTCACTGAGAAGAAGGACCAAGAATACGACTGGTACTGCACCTACAGCGCTATGGCCAAAATACTCAGGCGGCACGTAAAGAAGGGTTCCAATGTGCTTGTGATGGGATGCGGAAACTCGCCGTTCTCTGCCGATCTGTACGACAATGTACCTGACATACACATCACAAATATTGATTTCTCACCAATCTGTATCCGTTCAATGCTGATGAAACATTTACGCGCACGTCCGGGGATGAAATGGCTTGTTCAGGATTGTACGAAAATGCCAAAGATTGCTAACAAGTCGATGGACGTGGTATTGGATAAGGGGTGTGCATACTCCATGATGCGAGACAGGGGTGTGTCTGTGCGAAAGATGCTGCGACAAGTTCGGCGTGTACTGAAAACCGGTGGCATACTGAGTATGGTTACGCTTCTGACCCAGGATTTACTGATGATATTGCTAAGCTCAAAGGAAGCGATATATAAGGGCCAGGGGTACATTAAATTCGAGCTGCTGAAACCTACGTTCAATGAGAAGCGAGAGCCCATACAGCCATTTCACATCACAATGACATACGAAGCACCCGAGTGTGCTGAATCTGAAATGGAGGGTCAAGTGATGGAGGTTGAGGACATCTCTGAGCACCAAGAGGAGCAGAAGATTGTGATTGCATTTGAGCGTGGGGATGGGAGGGGTGTCAATGCGGGCATCGTGGAGGCTGCGTATCTGTTCTTACTTGAGGAGAAGGAACGAAGGGAAAAGGCGTGTAAAGTTGAGTCATAAGGCGGAAAGACAGTCAAGTATAAGTAACTATGTGTTAGTTACATCCGTACAATTGAGATAAAAATCGAGTCGTCACTGAGGGCACACCAGTTACGAGACCTAATTCTCATCTTTTCCAAGCAGTGTACCTCGTATACTCCAAAAACAGCACCAAATATCTATGGGCGACTACTGGTGCCAAGACCATTGTCGGAGGCCGTGTATACCTTCCAACTCGAAGAGAAGGAATGCAGGTAAAGCGCACTTGAACACTTGTACACTTGATTCAGAAGGTACAAGATAGTACGTATTTGTATATGTTAGTTCCACCCACACAGCCTAGAGAGAAAAAGCCAGGCAGTCTGACTACAAGTACTCGTATCATCTTATAGTTATGAGCAAATAGAGGGGGTGATACAGCTCAGTGCAATAGAACCCCTGTCTACTCTGTTCGAGGACAACGTGTCCCTAGTACCTAATATAAAATAGCAAAGATAAGGATTATCTTATAGTCACCAACGTATAAGGTAATCTTATTCCTTTACTACCAAGAAATTAGTTATATATAGGCATAGGCTGTATTATCCCATATTTTGTAGGTTATTAGTGCGATTTTTTTAGTCAGGGGACAGGTTATATATTTATGTATATATATATATGTATATAAAAATATATATCTATCTATATATATATATATATATATATATATATTGTGCGCAAAAGAATCCTTGGCGTATGATTGGCATCCGTACTGAGCCGTACTCACCGCCAAATAGTGAGCGATCATTCAAATAATATCCGTCATTGATGTGCACGGTACTCCGTCTCAAATTCTTAGTGCCGACAGTGGTCTAACCAAACATATGTGCAGATACATTAGGCTTGCTGACTGATAATCATAAGTATACTAATTGGATCGAGTTTTACACCCTTGCCCGTGATCATATAAGCAGCACGCATTAAATTTGTATATTGTAAAACCCTACTTTCAGGATCGCCACCGACCGGGTTGCCACAGTGGTTTAAATTTTGCAAGTCACCCGGACGAAAACCCCTGTGAATGTTGGTGAGCAGATTGTATCTCGAGTTTTTCTCCAACCTTTGTCTAAAAATCAACATATACTTGGAACGTCTAGCAAATGTAAGTTGAGAGCAGGGTTTTATCAGTACGCTCGTTTTGAGAAGGCCACCTTTTACGGCGTCGGAGAAATTTTAGAGGAGCAAACGCAGCCCATGGCAGGCCTGCAGTCATACTAGTGATATACTCATCACTATCGCACAAATCGGAGTTTGAATCTGAAGATACAAACGAATACTCTTTCGCTTGAATGGAAGTTACACGTGTCAGAAATGGCAGTAAAGAGAGATACTCGCACATGTAAATTATACTTGTCAGCAAGGGTAGTGAAGATACCTACGAGAGTACGTCAAGTTGAAATACGACAACTGAACTAGAGCTTGCACTCGCACAGGATTGTATTTAATTTATACGAGTAAATTCTCCATTTACAGAAAAACCTGTGGACACTAATACACCAGTAAGACGTATTTTAACACATGTTTAGTCTATCTACAGAAGACCATGGCACTGACTTTAATATTTTCAAGTGTAAATGTACACACGCACGAGGTACGAACTGTGTTCATTGTTATACAAGCAGCTCTACTATGGAGGTGATACACATTAGATACTGAGTCCTCCGTGTTCATTGCAACTTCAACTGACTCTTCCTCCGAAGCCAGTAGTGGTAAGTAGTCGACTTTGTCACTATATATCGCATTCGCGTCTCCTTCAGATACTGGCTGGTGTATGATGCAACATAGGCTTGTTATGGTGTTGTGACGTCGATCAAAGATATTTTTGCGCACTGCATTATATTTTCTATAGCGTACTCAGTATCACACGAAGCGCTTGAATACTATATTGTCTCCTCATTTTAGGGGTTTTAAAATTGGCAAGAGCATCGCATAACTCGTGAATTTGGAATCCTTTGACGCCTATATTGCACCTGTACAACGACTACCACATGTTGTCCTCTCTATTCGCCAAACTCGAAAGAATCGCTCAATTCTCTAAATTTCGTGGATTTACGATACGTACCACTTGTCTACACCTCCATCTTCTCGGAAAGGAAATCCAAGATCGTCGAGAGCGACGCAATCTTAGACACCGTCAGATCAGAGATATCGTATTGAACACCCACCACGAATTGATGTACTCCCTGGGATAACAACATTAAGAGGTTAGCTGCAATGTATATAGACATATTGAACAAAGAGCGAAAGCCCGACAGAAGGCAGGTAATGCATAGATAACTAAGCCTGTATGGGCACGTCCTCCAATACAGTTTTGGAGACTTAACCCGATTCTGATCCCGCAGGCTAATGATATAGCAGTTTTTAATGAACGATCATTTCAAATGATTGCTCCTGCGATGGTCTTCTGCTGGCAGTGACTATAGTTGATATGAGAGACAGACATACGTAAACGTACTTTAAGCGAAGATTAAGCGGCTACTCTCCGACTTGTGATTTTGTCACATCGTAGGAACCAGTAAGATATTTGAAGACTCGCACACGCAGTATCGAGCGCCACGATTGGTGACTACAGACTTGTATAAGCGCTACACACCTTTTTGTCAAATACTGGATGCAAGGTTAGCAAGTTCGTGAATTCTTCTCCGTCCTTACAGTAATTGGTTATGCTTGTGTGTATTTTTGTTCCATCTCTAATACCCACTCGAAGTTTTTCTACAGCTTCTGGCTCTGTCTTTGGTCCTTGTAGGAAGCGGCAATTGCGTCCGACTGTCTCATCGTGCGTGTAACCTGTCACTCTTGTGAATTCTGTACCAGAAAATGTTGAAATGGTCATATAAATGTATGTGGAAAACCCTTCATGTGCATGAAACACAATCCATAATGTATATCGTTTCAAACTTATACGAGAATACTGGTTGTGCTTAGTCACTGGTCGTGTCGGACTTCGAGTTCGATTTTGGAGTTCAAATTTCTAAAAATAAATAGCAAAGCAAACCGGTATTGCAGACATATATATAACAGAACTTATAAAATGTACATGTCTCCAAGATCTTTGTATGTGCCTTCCACATACCTGAAAATACAAGTTTATAACTAAACAGGTACGAAGAAGTATATAGTAAACTGGTTTGTGAAATAGCTATACACAAATAACGTGTGCAGCACTGATATTTTTCATCCGAGTGTAGTTGAGACTTACCAGGGTTTACGAAGGAAAGGGGGAATGTGCCTTCGGGTCCCGGGTCCTTCACACGGGTGGAGATGGTCACGCTGAACGGAAGCATGTAAGCCATGCAAATGAACTTCGTAAGCCATGCTTGTGTGGGGTCTGATTTGGACACTGACTTCGCCTTTGCCTGGAATGCGTTCAGCTGATTTATGAATTCATCATCATTGCCCTCATTCCTAACTGCGAGGCTGTAAAGAATGTCAAGACACTTGTCATATTAAGCTAGATACGAAAATTTATATACGCAGTATAACATCAAAATATTCAAAATATTCAAAATATTCACCACACTATATTATAGAGAGATGATCTATTGGAAATACAAAAAGCTGGAAAGCAGGACTGCCAATCAAAAATATTAATCTATAGATGAGAAACATTACTATCAAAAGTAAAGCAGAATTCTCAAGTATGTGTATCAGCAAAACGAAGTGATTCTTTCAATGTCAATACTCGCACCCACAGTGACACAATGATTGTTTGATACACGAAAGATAACAAACCTTCTGATGTAGTTGTTGCCATATTTGCTGACCAGGAATCGGGGGAAACAGTCCATAGCCATGAGTGAGAGTATACTATTCTGCACCGTGTCCAACAAACTACCCTCGCCCTCACTCACGTTAGTGTTATTTGTCCTAGTTGTTTTTCTTGACTGTATGGATTTCACGTCGGGATCTTTAGCGTCTGCAACGTCGATGTCATTGGACTTTCCGATAGCATCGTCGATTTCGATGGCGTCATCCAATACCATCTCCCTGATAGACGCGGTATTTGCAGTGTTGATATCATGAGTTCCTTAATGCGCCATTCATCTTCAAGATAGACATAATACCGATAGGACGACGGTTTGTGCCGTGTGCACGTGGCCAGTTGTGAACTGTATTGTACTAGCTGTTATTCCGTACGTATGTGTGCTAAGAGTTTGCAGACCACCTTTTTTTCGTATCTTAAACTTGCATACACAAGACACAAGACTCAACCTAATGTTCCGTATGTATGTATGCCAAGAGTGCGTGGTTCATTCTTGGGTTAAGAGTTCAAAGATACACGACCCAAATGATTCCAAAGATAAATACAAATCATTCACTCAACCCCGGGGAAATACATATCTATTCTTCATACATGCTGTTAATGTTCTTATATGTACTCGCATGTTTTTTTTTCGAAATTTGCGAACAGAGATGCGATTTGTTCACATAGTATTATATACACTTACCTTAGCATGGTCACAAATTGCTGGCGCTCAGTATCTGAGATGTTTAAGGCCTCATCCTGGAAGAACTTTGCCATTAATGATCTTGCGATTTTCTTCAGCTGTTCGCGGCTTTGCACAGTCTGTGCACAAAAAGTAAAATATAATACGATAAGTTCGTTACCACCCATCTTACGGAACTTCCATGCAGGGTAGAAGGTATTCATGAAGTAAGTGAAGCATGGTGGAATGGTTCCTTTACACGAGGATTCCATTTTTCATGGCATCATAGTATCTTTTGCTGCTCGTGTATATCCTTACATTCTACGACTCTATCCCAGGCCAGAACAGCAAGTTCTCAGACACTTACCTTTAAAGACTCTATCTCTAGCCAGAAAAGCAAGTTCTCAGATGCGTATTCAGACTCGAGGAATGAGCGGAATGCATCCAATCCTTCAGGATCTCGTAGGATAATTGTGAGCGACCATCGACGATCGTAAAGCCACGACATGTGTGTAATCCTGAATTTGAGATCAATATGAATGACGATTCTTCTTTTAAGTTAAAATTAGAAGTGTAGCTGCTGCGAAGCTTGCCAATAGCTGACACTAGGCCACGACGATCAGTGGAACACCGAGTGAAAACATTATATGTGAAACACTGAGTGTGGATTCAAACATGCCCAAAACATTTCCATGTGTATCACTAAGTGTGGATTCAAACTTGCCCAAAACATTGTATGTTTATCCGCGATGACGCTTTCCCTTCGGCCCGCATTGTTAATATTTAGCCATTTAGAGGAAACACTTTCAAAATTCAAACTGCAAAAATGATTTAAGAAATAAGAGATGCCGCACCATTGAAGAAATGAAGCAGAGCATACTGACACTATTTCTATCTCTCAGCTTACTCGTTAACAGACCTGAACGAACAGAAGAAACAACTAGTACACAATCGTAATAAAACACGTACGGTAATTGAACTGAACGCTTTGGACCTTTCAACTTACTTTTGAAAATCTTCAGTCTTAAGATCAGAATCTATGGTCAAACCATTGACTGGTACTTTACTTTCACCCCATCTGGCTTTGGCGTAGCGCAAGATCTTGTTACCTTTTTTCTTAGTTTTCTTAGCCGCTTTTAAGGAAGTAACTACATCTGCTGCTTCCTTTAACTGTTCGTACATCAGAAAGGTTAAGGTTACATATCAGCAAACTTGAAGTACTCGAGGAACTTGAAAACTCAATATTAAATTTTTATCGGAATTCACTAAACTTAGCAAGTTGGGTACACATTGTATAAACGACTGACGTCGAAAATGTCGCTGAAAACAGTATCCATACCTGTGGAGAATTATCTTGTGTATCGCCACTCTTCGGTCCTTCAGTCAAGAAATCAGGCACTACGCCAGTTTTGGGTTTGATATCCGCTGTAGCTCCCATTGTATATCAATTGCTCTTAATCTAGCTACCTGACTAAAGCTTCATCAAATTGCCAATAAAGCATTATATATATAGTGGTGAAATTTGAATCATTGAGATTTTCTTGTCCGATTACAGAATTCCCGCTTGGTATGTATGTACACAGTACAGTATGACGGTTTTACTTTCGTGTGATGGTTTATAGTCCGCGGGTTTTATATTCGAATGAATACAGAATGTGCAATAGAAATACGACTATTCACGAGTCATGACCCATCACTCTAGAGAGAAGAAATGAAATAATATGCCTGATCGGACTATTGTCCGTAGGCCGATTCTTTGCACGATTTGAATTAGGCGCAAATGCTGACTTCTGTAGAGTACAGAGTACGGTCTACACTGAGAGTCTGTCAGTCAGAGTTGTTTATTTGTTTATTATTTAAAAAAATATTAAATATGTGATTGAGAAAAGGTTACAGGTTTAAAATATTTATATTTTATTCACGTAAATATGAATATAAATGTACATGTGTACATAACTACATATACATATATAAAACCCAACCCGCTTGGCCGCCTTGGCGTGCCGTAAGGCCGTTATTTATTTTATCCACAGCAGTAACAGGCGGCCAGCACTACTGAGCACTCTGCCGGGGGGTGAGCACTGAGCGGTGGAAAGTTATGTATGATAGCTGCCTGGCTGCCTAAGTATGTAGTATTCTGTATTTACATTCTGAGGCCTTAGCAGGTCTGGAAGAACGCTCCGGCCTCTGAAGTCTCAGCCTCTCAGGCCTGAGGTCGGTCTGCGACTCTGTGCCTGCAGCTTAGCGCCGCCTTAGGCCCTGAGGCCTGAGTCCTGAGCCCTAAAAAGTAGGAGAAGGCTATGAGTACTCTCGAAATTTGATTTTTAGAAGGAATTCAACTTGTGTTTCTTTCTTTTATATTCCTATGCTTCTCATTGTACAAATTTAATACGATGTTTTTATCACTCGTTGACTTTAAAACAACTGAATCGACGTGCATGTAAGTTGAAATTCCTGTAGATTCGAAGCTTTTTCGAGCTATGTATTTACGAGAGACTACGAGAGTATAGTGCAGTGTGTATGCAGTACGCACTATGTATGCTGATTCAAGTTTGGGGGGGGGGGGGGGGTATTTTGTTTTAATAAATTTTATAAAATTGTATGTCTTTGACTATAATATTCACTCAAAAAATATTTTTAACTGA